ATTTTTTTTTAAGTACAAGTAAGGCAATATTGTGTCAAAATAATTTTAAAGGTCTTGAGAATCCTTTGGCTGGCTTCCCTCAGGCCTGGGAAGGATCACTACTGGTTAAAAACAGCTTTCACTAAATTAATTTTTTTTTTTTCAGATGAAAAGTTGTTCACACCTTTTTGATTGCTTTTCTTATGATGAATGAAGAACTAGTACAAATAGCAACATGGTCACTTCTAGCCACCCCCTCTCCTGAAGATGTTACCTGCCACCTTACCTGTATATAAAACGCTCCTCCACTCATAGAGTTTTTTTAAGTAAGCATAGGAGTCCCATATCGAAGCTTGCTGCTACTCCCTTTTATCGTCATCCAGCCCACAGGGATGAACCAACTTATGCTTCAGGTTCACGAGCATTTTTGATGAAAATGAGTTGAAATATGGGGCTGGGGCTGACTGAGCTTCAAAGCCCAGCTCTGTCTTTGGGCACTCACCTTGTAGCACAGACATCCTCAAAATAAGCAGGTTCTTTTCCAGATGTCACCCTAATAACACGGCCTTTCCCAAGCCCTGACTCTGTGCAGGTTGTATCCTCACAGCACAGCGTGGTGCGAGCTGGCAGGCCAGTGAGGCACCGGTCACATCTCAGGGCATTGTCACAACTACGCATCAGTGTGACGAGTCTTGGTCCACCCCAGGCACCCTCACTATGCCCGAGAAGACCTGGGCTGCCCATCCCGAACAGCCCAGAGGCACTCTCTTGGCTTCTTCCCCAGCCTCAGCACAGTCTGCCTCATCCAATCAACCAAAAAAAATAATAATAAAAAAAAAAACCAGAAACCAAACAAATAAATAAAGGAACAAACACCACTTGACTGTGGAGGCCTTTGCCGTGGGAAGAAGCTGTCACACAGCGGTGTGTCACCAGTGGCACGCAGACAGGACAATCGGCCCCTCTGTGCCCCGTGCCAGCTGCAGCCCAGCCGGGGACACGGGCAGTGGGGAACAATGGCCGTGGGGACAATGGGGATTGTTCAGGGCTGCTCTGCTCCTCCGGAGGGGACAGCCCTGGGAGGGGACCTGTGGCTGTCACCAGCTCTGAACTGCCAAACAGTGCCTGTAGGAAGGGCTGGGACATTCAAGGGATGCTCAAAGTGGCAGCGAACACTTTGGTAAAAGGAGGGCTGTGAACACACATACAGAAAAGGGTGAGCAGCCTCTGCAGAGAAACCCCCTCCTGGTGCTGAGCTGGATTTTGTGGGGTGCTGGGGGTGCAGGGTGGTGGGAGCAGGGCCAGTCTGTCCGGGAAGCAGCGGATGCCCTGCACACACCCATCACTGCTCTGTCGGTGCTGTTACCTGCACACATGCTCCCTGCAAAGGCACATGGATGGGGCTGCTCCTTCTGACCTGAACTCAACGCTGGTGACTCCATACAGGAGCTGTTGATACCAGATAGCTGCAAATAATCTCAGCTTTGCAACTGGATGTGGATAATTTACCTGTTAAACCTGGATGGTGGCATCTTTCTGCCCCTCTCCCCAATCACTTTTCATGTTTCATCCCCCCCTCGCTGCTCTCCCCACCCAGGACAGTGCTGGACTCTGCTCTGCCAGAGCCGGGTTGGTGGCACGGCAAAGTTGGGGTAGGGGTTGGCAGGAGGAACCAGCTCCTGGGGCAGCCACAACTGGCTTTGGAGCAAGGATCCCTTTTCCCTAAGGGAGCCAGGGGAACGGCGGGGGGGCTGTGTGTGCATGCTACAGGACTCAGGTCCCTCTGCCAGCATTGCTGGGCTGTGACTACAAGTGTTTATCTTGAAAACCAGAGGGTTGGTTACCTTCTCCAAAGTTTCCAGGGAGAAAATACAGACCCTTCCTTTCAGCTGTGCGCCGGAGGATGTGTAACCTCGACGAATTCCTCGGTTTGGTTTGGCTTGGGTACGCCGCTCCGGGTAGCATCACTGGCCAGAGGATCTTTTGCGCTGCGTTGGGCTGGCTCTGATCCGGGAGCTGGGTGCGCTGCTCGACAGGCTAATAGCTGTCAAACCCCGCAGCCGTCCTGCCCGCGAGTCTAGACTCATCCACCTGCTGTGTACATATTAACACAGGCACACACACAACCTGCTCTGTAGACATACCCGTACGCAACAGCCAGCCTCACCAGGGATGCGAAGTGAAGCTCTTCAGCAGCCTTCCAAGGTAAGAGGCAAGAATTTAGCCTCTGGTCTCTGCAGCACAGAGACAGGGGATGGCCAGCCTGTCCTGGAGCTTTTCATGGTTTATTCCCAGCAGAGGTGAGGGATACTGGAGTTGCAGGTTTCCTTTCCATCGCTGTCTGCAGCAACACAGCCCCGTGCTGCAGGTTTTGCCCTTTTCCCTGAACTCTGCTGAGGGAGGCTGCTGGGATGGGTATCACAGGAGCAAAAAAATACCAGTGTTGGGGAGCTCGCTGTATCAGAGTGAAAAAAAAAACAACGTTCTGAAGGGCATCCAGGCAGCCACCTTGTATTTTGTCTGGTGTCTCCTATTGCTAACTCCTAGCACCACACTCACAATGGTCAGGAATCCCACGAGCAGCATGAGTCCCATCACACCTCCAGTCCAGTTAGTGGCATTTCAGGAGACACGAGCAATTTGTCTGTTGGGTCGGTCAACACCGGTTCTCACATTCAGCAAAAACCGCAGAGCTGCTCCCCATCGCAGCACACACCACACGGGGCTTTCAAGAGAAACGAATCATCTCTGAGCAAAAACAAACCAAAACACCATGTTTGTAAAATACAGGGAAAGGCAGGGCTGTGGGCCAGAGCCTTGAAAAAACAAAAACAGCTTCACAGCGCCTGGAGTTGCACCCAGCACCAGCAGCTGCTGCTGGCCCTAGCAGTCCCAGTGAGTGCCGTGTCCCACCGAGCATCTGGGGATCTGTCCTGCAGGACAATGGAGCTGCTGGGAGGGAAGGATCAGTCTCAGACAATCTGCATCAGTGGCTCCAAAGAGAGGTTTGGGGTTTTTCCCCTGATCAGTGCATACACCGTGTTGTGGCAGCCCATGGCAGGGGGTTGGAACTAGATGATCTCTGAGGTCCCTTCCAACCCAAACCATTCTGTGATTCTATGAAATGAGTGGTTTGAAGTAATGCTGTGGTGCCACAAACACCAGGCACCTGCACTTCAAGAGTTTCACTGTGTTTTGCTTTACACAATAGCAAAGGTGAACAAATATCACCCCAGCACCTCCCACACCAGCGTCTCCCGTTTCGGGAGATGCAAGACCTGAAGCTCCACTCTCTGCACCCACAGACCGCATCACACCTGACTGGTGCATGGGGTGCTGGATGGGTGCCAAGAGCCACACCAGGCAAATGCAAAGTCTATGTTCATCTGCAGCGAGTCACAATCATCACCTTCATCCCCACAACCAAACCCCATGGCCACCAGCCACCGGCGAAGGGCAGAGGGATGGCTACCGGGCAGCAGCAGTGAGAGGCTGTAACACGTGTGGCATCGTGGTCCCTCCATGGCCATCGTGCTCAGTGCCCTACAAGCCTCAGTGACCCAGCAGCCATAGCCCTCAGTGCCACTGTCCTCTCCCTCTCCATCAGAAAAAGGGATTTAGCTTCAAAATTGAGACCTCAGGCAACCTGCAGTGCTTTGGCGCTCGCTCCAGAGGCTGCTGCGTCAAGGCAAAGCTTTCTGTGAACTCCAGCAGGACCATGACCAGGCACTGGAGGCCTTCCCAATGCACAGCATCAACGTGGCTCAAGATAAATGAAGAGACATAACCAAGGGGGAGTGGGGGGAAATGAGCAGTTTGGGAGAAACAATCAGAATTATTTGAGTGAGTGCAAATCAGGCAAATAGGTTTAGCTCAAGAAAAAAAAAAGTTCCCTGGCTGAACTTCCTCCACATCAAATCCTGCACCTTTGTTTGGTTTCAAAACATTTTCAATTTGAAACTCACCTCCGGCTTGTTTGCTTTTACTTTAAAGGGTTAAATAACCTGAAAAACTAAACAAAACTATTTGCTTTGGGCTGACTAAATTGATTCATTCAACCCACACTGTTCCTTTTCCCCCTCCAGGTTCATTGCTTTGCTTTAAAAAGAAAAAGCAATAGCTTAGGGCTGATCTGATGTTTGGGATTTTTTTTTTTTCCCCTCTCACCCTCCTGTACTTTTTGGTTTGGCTACCAGGCTGAGAAATCCATTACCCACAGGGATGCTGGGCCAGCCTAACCCACATCTGACAGTAAAAGAAACCAGATTCTCCACGGCTTTTTAGCCCCTGGCTTCCTTCTCGGGCTTTCCCACACGTCTCCAGCTCCCAGTGGGGTCGGTGGCGGAGCTGGGTGTTGGGGAGGGCAAGGACCCTATGCACAGAGGCTGCACTTTCCCCTCCTCTCCGTCCGTCCAGCTCTTGGCAGCAGCACCAGTTTCCAGATACGTCCCCTTGTCTCAACCATGTCCCAGCACAGGGACAGCAGTCGGTGATGCCCTCTCCGGTCACGAAACCCTATGAACGCCCAAGCAATGGTGAGATGGTGTCAGGAAGAAACACCAAGAAGGCAGTGTCGATGGACTTAATATGAATCTTTAATGCACAGAACAAGCTGCCGGGAGCCTTGCGAATGAAGGCTGCACGCGGAGCCGCTCCATCAACTCGCGCTGGTACAAAAGCCCAGCTTGCCTGTAGTGTCCTCGCACCTCCTGGCATCCCCCGCCAGGAGCTTCCCTGGCAGCACGGTGTCACCGGCCACCTACACCATCTCCTCCTGGTGTCCTTGGCCACCACAGCACTGGGGCTCCTCACCCCATGGCTCCTGCCTGGCAGCAGGGCAGGCAGGGAGGGGGTCACCCTGTGCCCCACAGCTCCCCTCTGCCTGACCCTGGCCTCGAGCATACATCTCCTCCTTCCAGGGTTTTGGAGCATGTAGTCCAGGAAATTCAGTAAGAAAAGATTAAAAAGGAGAGGCTTTTATGCTGAGTCAAATTAGGGAATTTCTTTTTTTTTTTTTTTCTCCTCTTGAAAAATTAAAAAAAAAAAAAAAAAGGAAAAGAAATTAAAGTCCAACTTGCTGATTTCTTGTTTCTCTGCTGTCTGCGTGAGAAAGTCCTGCTTGGCCTTGCTGTCCCCTTCCACCCCTTCCGACCACCACCCGACCCCGAACCCCATCAGCCACTCAGCACATCACGAGTCCTCGACTCCTCGGAGTCCCTTTGCCTCCCGCAGCTCCAGGCCTGCACCTTCCCTCACCGCCCCTTGGACTCCCCGTACGTGTTGCGCAGCATGGAGACCATCTTCTCCTCGCACGTTACTTTGGTGTCCTTTAGGATGCTGTACCACACCATGCCGGGCGGCCGGACTTCTTCGCTGCGGCAGAACAGGTAGGGCATGGTCTCGGTGCGGCTCTGGATGTAGGCACTGCGCAGGAGGGTGGAGCAGTGGCTGCTGACCTTCTCCAGCCTCCGCAGGATCAGGTGTGCCTTCCTGGAGGGGACAGACAGAGATAGAGACAGAGCAGGGTGGGCAATGCAAAGAGGAGACCAGGAGGACTTCTGGGTTCCACCACCAGCTCCGTCTTGAGACAAGAATGGATGAAACCCATTGCCCAAGACACTGTCTTTCCTGTGTCAAGGGGAGAGGAGCTCTGCTTTGCCCAAAAGTTCTGGGTATATCATAGAATCAGAGAACGGTTTGGGTTGGAAGGGACCTTAAAGATCATCCATTTCCACCCCCCTGCCATGGGCAGGGACACCTCCCACTAGCCCAGGTTGCTCAAAGCCTCATATACTAATCATCTGGT